AGAAAGGGTAAGGAGTAACATCGAAGGTCTAAAATACTTATAGTTACAGTTAGCATTTATTCGCGATAGTTCTTAGTAATATAAGGGAGGGTATCGAATAAGAGGCATAGATAGGGAGCAGCTAGTAGTAATAGATTACGGTTCTGCTAGCGCGTATATGTAATGCGAACCCCTGTTACTAAGCAAACGGTTTCGCAACGGCTTCACTTACGTAGATACTAAATTGACGAAAGCTTACCTCGCTAATTTAGAAGCTTAAAACAATACCGGGTCGCTACAACCGCGACAACTATACCTTCGCTTTAACAACCGCATACTACGGCCGCCGCTACTATAGCGGAGCCCGCTACGACGCCGCTACTACTAGCTCTAATACCTTAGCGCCGTTACTTTATAGAGGACGAAATCGACACACTCGTCGTATAGTTATTTGTTCCTAATAACAACGCGCTACCCGCAAATTACTCCGACTATATAGTAGGAAATAGTATAGCAAAGCGTTACGTCTACGATTAGTAGGGTCTCCGGGACGGGAGCCTAAAAGGGGACGAATAGAAAATTCTTAATCGCTATATAAGAAATTAGGGCCCTTAGAAGGATAATAACAATAAAAAGGAGCAGCATCGCGCCGCCGTAGAATTTTGCCTCCGCTACCTAAGCAGCGCTATTAGTCTAGGTGTATCGGACTCTAAGATCCGTAAAGGGTAGTCTGTCTTTATTAAGCAACAATAGACTAATAAAGATACGCCTAAGCGCGAGCCTAGTTAAACACCTGCGCTATTATCTAGCCGCCGCCTAAGACCTACACTATTGTTAGCGAGCTTATTAAAGACAACATTAAACAACAAGGCGGCGAGTGAAGTCCTTCTAATAGAAGCAAACCCTAGCGGCGGGGATATAAATAGCGTCTAGGATTAGGGTAGTCGAGACTTTGCTACTAGTCGAAAATTACAAATATAGCAGCTAGGATCTATATTCCCTACATCTACTAGAAGACTCTAGACGCCCTAGGCTAGGAATACCTATACTATTACGCTAGCCGTAGTCGATCGGTTAGATATAGTGCTTGTCGCATAGCTATTCGGCTAACTATTTTCGATACTATAGGTAGGATATCTTAGGCAAGCGCCCTCTACGACTCTAAAGAAATTTGTTTATAAAGGTAATTATCGATTGTTATACCTAGATTTGTCGTATAACCTCCTAGAGGATTGGTTAAGGTCTAAGTTTTATATTACTAACTAGTTAGATATCGTAATCGTAGTAGTAAACCTAGGCGAGGACGACACGAATAAGATTACTAATAACGGTAAGTTCGAAGCTGCCGTTACTAAATATAGCATAGCCGGCAGATACGGCGCCGTAGGTGTTGAAATACTACTATTTATCGGCTACCAACTAGAGCTACAAGAATACGAGCTAGATTTTGTCGAATAGGCAAACAAGAAATTCGATAACAAGGCTCGCGCGACATTTAGCTAAGACATTAATAGGTATATCGAGAAGAAGCGGAAAACGAATACGAGCAGTCCGATCGCTATAGCTACTATAGCTTTAGTAGAGTCGGAAGACTTATAGCTAAGAGAGAAGCTGCTATTTAGCCTAGAGATATAAGAGCGTCGTTATAAGCAGCGCCGATAGCGGTTAGGTCTCTAATCTAGCGAACTCTTACGTAGCGCCGTATTTAGTATCCCTCTATTATCGAGGGTATCGATACCGTCGCCTAACGATAAGCGCCCTATTCTATTCAGTAGAGCTCTACCGAAGGTTGTTAAGCTTAGAGATCTTAAGTTACCGCCTACCCCTACGCTAGTATCTTTATAGTAGGCTTAAGGTTCTAGACTTAATATAAACAGTTATACGTCGACTACAACTACTACCGCGCCGAATGCTCTAGCCGTACCCTCTACGCCTTAAGAGAATGCTTAAGAGAATACTTAAGAGAATGCTTAAGAGAATCCTTAAGAGAATCCTTAAGAGAATCCTTAAGAGAATGCTTAAGAGAATGCTTAAGGTTCTAGACTTAAGGAAAATAGTTAAGAGTCGACTGCAGACACTACCGCGCCGGGAGCTTTACCTAGGATCGTTACTCCCCGAGAAAGTTATCTATATCCTTTAGGTTCTTAGCGTTCTATAGATAATATATCGATATAACTATATAGATCGAGTAAAGGTCTTAATAATAGTCTAACGAGAAACGGAAGAGGGTTAGATGCTAGTAAACGTATACGAGATCTTTATACTCGTACTAGGCCGCTCGACTCTAATACTAACTCGGAGCCTATAAGGAATAGCAGGACTGCTAGACGCGCTTAGCCTATAGTTAATATAGATACGTATACTCCGAAGCCGGACGACCTAGAGGAGCAGACAGAGGCGACCCCTTATATTCTAAGTTAGACCTATAAAGAGCTCCTCGACCGTATTAAGCAAACCTAGGTAGGGGATCTTAACTAGAGTTATACTACCGAGCTAGAGCAGATAACGTACGAGCACGTTAAACGCATCTGCCTCTATCTGCGTCTATCGCCTAAACTTTTCGTAGATCCCGAAACACCTATCGCCCTACCGGGCTTTAAGATAAAGCTATACGCCTACTAAGTATTCGGAGCTGCTTAGCTTATATTCTGCCGACCGTAGTATACTCGAGAAGCCGGAGGAATCTTAGGCGACATTATAGGTCTCGGCAAAACTATAAAGCAACTTTTAATCTTCGTTTTTTATAAGCAGATTACCGATATACTTAAAGACTACGCTAAAAACAGAGATAATTTAGAGAAACACCTTCTACGGGATACGGAAAATTCGAAATACCTATCTACGAATAAGTTTTCTGTCCCCTATAGATATAAGCAGCGCGACCTATAGCGTAGTTTCAGGCTTCGTAAGGGCATTATAATTCTGTGCCTAACTGCCGGTTTAAAACCCGATACTATAAAGAAATTCCTAGCTTATACGGACTTTAAGGAGCTAGGCATTGAACTATACAACTTTAACCCGCCTAATATAGATAATACGAAAGAGGAAATAGATAGTATTAAGCTCTTTAAAAGGGGAGACGTAATGCACTTTGCGCCTAATCGCGTTGCGACTCCTAAAGTAGACAAGTACCGGAAGGGAGTTAACTATCCGGACTCTACGCAAAATCCAATTATTACTAAGGCGCCCCTCGGTCTATATAAGAAGCTCGTATTCGTACTAAAGGGTCGTTTCTACGTATTCTACGAGAACTGGAATTTCTCTATCTCGACCGTATAGTTTAGGAGGACCTAAGAGGGCAGGCCTTACGCAAATAGCTCGACTAATTTTAAAACCGCGGCCTATAACACTCTGCTAGTTAGAGCTATCGTAGTAGACGAGGCTAACGAGGAGTATAGAATACATACGAACAGTATAAGTACGCTTCGCAAGCTAAGCGTAAACTATAATACGAAATATACGGTGTATTTCGTAATAGGTACCCTAATCGCTAGAACGTAGAAGCCGATAATTAAATAGTTTAGAGTCTTCGACGCCTTAGCTCGCCGTAATAATAGAGGGCGATCCGACCCTAACTACTAGAAGGACTTTAAAGCATAGAACGAGTTTAGAAGTAAGCCTCTAGGCGAGGGCTTTAAGAGGATAATCAATCGCTACGAGAAAGCTTTAGGCGGAGAGCATTAGAAAAAGGGTTCTATTAAGGAGCCTAAAATCCTAATAGCTAACTTACTTATACTAGTATTAAGGCACTTTCTTATACTACGGATATACAAATCGGTCTAGCCGTTTAACGTAATAAAGCCCGAACAGAAGATGCGACTATTAGATAATACAGATAAGGAGCTAAAGAATATTAAGCTGCCTTAGGATATAATTAACGAATTGAATAATTAGGTAGAAGAGCTAAAGCGGAGCATTAACTAGAAGATCCGTTTAGGAAAGATTAACGCTAAGGCGGTTGCGTAGAGGTAGTTTTTCCTCGGCTCTTATAAGACACGAATTCGAACTACCCTATCGCCTCTACTATCTAAAGATAAGCGCGGCCTTACCTTACCGACTCGAATAACCGACTAGGTACGGAAGAACTATAGTAAGGCCCTTAACAAGTTTATTAAGGCAAGGAACAATGATCTAGAGCGTAAAGGCTACGCGCCGGTATCTACTAAGGAGTAGGAAATAGAATTTACTATAAAGGAGATTAAGTCTTTCGGCTAGCTTTTTAAGCCCGATATAGACCTATATACTTACTTCCTTAACGAGCTTATAGAAAGCCTACGTATTAAGGACATTATCGCGGAGCTTAAGAAGCAGACGGCTAACACCGTTAAAGATAATAAAGGCCGTAAGGCCGTAGTAATAAGCTATTCTAACGTAGTAGCTTATACTATTAATCTAGTAAGCTCTACCTTCGTAAATAAGAGCTAAAGCAATATACTAACACTTCTATCTAGGCGTATAAGAAGGCTAGTCTAAAGTCGTAGCTATTTAACTTAAGGGTACCGAAGGACGCTAGCTAGCGATTATAACTAATCGCAGAGTTCAATTGGTCCTAGACGTCGGGCGTAGACATTCTCGTCTACTTTATAAGCATAGCTAAGCGTAGCTATAATATAGTCGAAGCGAACTTGTTGCTTATAGCCGACCTTAACTAGAACCTAGTAGCGAGTAAATAGGCGAAGACGAGGGAGAATCGGGTAGGCTAGAAGCGTAAAGTAAGAATAGTTCGATACTACTCCTATAGGGTATAGATCGAGTATTAGATGCTAGATAAAGAAGAGCTAGGCAATATAGCTCTAAGATCCTTCGGTGCGAAGGTTGATAAGATACGAATAAAGAAGGCTATAGAGGAAGATTCTATTATACTCGACGATTCGGATAAGGGCGGTGCGGGCTTCGTCGGAGATAAGAATAACGAGGAGCTTTAGTAGGGAGTTAACGACGTAACAATCAAATAAGTCGCAGCGTTAGGCTACGATAGACAATGCCTCTTATAGATGATTTCTAATAGCTCGGGAGACCCAATGCCGCCAAAGCCATATGTTGATATGATCAATGTTAATCTGACCGGGTTGCTCTACACAGCAACTCTTGCCGCGTACTACTGGAATCTGCAAGGACCACCAGCACCTGAACAGGACAAAGTCTTCATCGTCGTTGCGACGAACATTGCATATTGCCCTATGCCAGGTTTTGTGGGGTATTCTGCGTCCAAGAGTAAGACTCCAGACATTGCTTGACCGACGGTCTGCTTTGCTGAACAATTCCTCCGACAGTGGGCGCTCGTGGTCTTTGGAAGAGTCTTCGCGAAACCGACCAATTCAAAACTTCGTGCAGAACAAATCTGCTGGCACCACATATTGTGCGCAGTCCGATGACCGCTGGTACTCAGCCTATCTTCGATGCAGCAGGTATCAAGATGGTAGAGATCTCTCAATGCGTCGACTGTCTGCTTCGCTTCTGCTGTGATCGGGAGATTCGAGGTTGGAAGACATCTCGAATGACCACAACATTTGCTAACTTTGTACGCAGGACGAGCAATCCAGGTCAATCCGAGCAAGGCGTTTGATCTTCACGATGATATGGCCGATATGGATGGTGCCAAGTGCTTCAAGGAGCATTGGGAAAACGAGACAAAATTCGTGTGGGACGTCTTCAGCAACTCAGCGCAGATGTCCATGTAGTGAACGTGATCAGATACAGGATGGGCGCCTCACTGCTTGATGAAGTCTATCCGGCACGTATGCTCCTTGCACACGTCAGCTGCTAGACACAACCACGAAAGAGAATGCTCACCTTCATTTCAGCGAAAGTCTCATCCCACAATACCTCAACGCGAGAAGTAATCCCAGGCGACGCCTTCTCTTCGCCACTCTTGATCTTCGTGCGATACCTCCTGTAGATCGCCGGCACGAGAGCCATTTCTGCCAATGCTAAGCTGTTCAAATTGTCAGATCTGTTGCGCGCCGAAAGAACCTCACACGCTTAACTCACTTGCTTCCAATACATATCCTACCTCCCGATGAGAAAGCCCACCACCATTTCTTCATCATCGACACGTGCTCAGTGTCGCCATGCCAGCGGTCTGGACTCCACTTTAATGGCTCTGGAAACACTTCTTCATTACGATGCAGACTGTAGGGAGACATGCACACTGTCGTCCAAGCAGGGATTGTGTAGCCATCAATAATCATCTCGATATCAGCACATCGTGGCTCAGAAGCAGGCAGAGGTGCGTAAAGACGCAATGTCTCTTTGATCACTGCGTCGAGATACCGTAACTTATCCGCAGCCTCGACCGTGGGAGCTCCGTATTGGTCGAGATCGGATTCCGGAACTGATCTCGCTTCATCTATGATTTTCTGCTGAATGCCTTCATTGCCAGGTCTTGAGAGCGCCCAAATCAAGAACATGAGCGTGTCGCTTGTGGTATCGATTCCAGCCAAAAAGTGGTCGGCGCACTCAGATGCGATTTCGAGATCGCTGAGCTTCGCGTTCGATTGATACAGACGGCCTATGATTGTGTTCTTTGCTGTGTCGTCGATTTTATCTGCCGCGGCCGCTGCTGTGTACATATGCATTGCCTTAAGCGCATGTGCTCGAATCCCGGTGTATGTTAATGGCTTTTGCATGGGCAGGAACAGTCTTACGAGGCGCTCTACCGCACCAACGCGAGAGTAAAGCCATTTAGTGAAGGCCGGCAGATGTACTGCGAACCATGTCAATCTCATTCGTCCTGGTCCATCAAGAATGTCGGTCATTAATGATCGAGATGCCGGGTCGCCCTTCAGTGCTTGAGTTGCCCCATGAGTACCATACAGGAAGTGGGTGATCGAATCGAGCGAGTAGTAATGCAAGCTCGTGAAGATCTCGCTTGGTCATCCTACATTCTCTTGGGTTTCCAACAAATGAATATAGTCCTGAATCTTCTCCGAGACCATCTCAGCCACATGTCCTCGGATGACACTCGATTTGCTGTACGCATTGGCAAGCAACTTCTTCCTCTCGCCATGATCCTTGGCCGAATGAAAGCTGAACAGATTCTGCTTGCCATACACATCGAACATGCGATAAAAACTCGCTCGACCAAATCCACTGCCTGGCCCGTAGATGGTTCGCAGTGCTGTGAGCGAGTTGAAATGCACTTCATTAGGCCCAGTCCTGACTACAGGGCCATGTTTCTGGTGGAGAGCGTGGATCGTTCTTGTTCTCCGAGCTTGCCAGTCTTCCCAAGCTAGTCGCCATTTCGTGATTGCGTAGAGCTTTGGACCTGGGATTTTGGAGAGAGGATTGAGGGAAAGAGGTTCGAGGATGATGCTGTAAGCTGCAATCAGCAGTGCAGTCGCGGCAACTAGAATCTCCAGCATTGCGAGATGTCGTGATTAGTAAATGAAATGGTATCGAATTGTTCAAAGCAAAGTGCACAGCAACTAACAGCTCTCAAGTAAGAAGGAGAGTAGAGCAGAGCGGCGAGCAGAAGACGATTTGCTGCAGCAAGAATTGGAACATTCAAAAGCAACTGCAACAAAATTTCGATGGCAAAGGGCAGCACAATCGTCTGCCAATGTGATTGATAGCAAGATGGGCGTCCCATCGATTCTGTGCTCAGTCAGCAGCTGGTGATCCCTGTCCGCACTAAACTTAAGCTTTAAGGTCGACAACTTATGTAAGCACTTTTTCTCCAGGCCCGAAGCAAATTTCATGTGAATCCTCATCCACTTCATAGAGTGCAGCGCATGTTGCAAGACACAATGTCATCCTCGCCAGAGCCCAAGGCCGAGAAGAAGCGTAAACGTGACGAGCCCGCCCATGAAGAGGAACTCGAGATCGACGTAAACCTCCCTGAACCGCCGTCGAAGAAAGCCAAGCGAAAAGAGAAGAAATCGAAAACCAAGACACCCAAAGCCGAAATAGCTCAGCCGGAGGAGACAGGAGCAGCAGTTGACGATGTGCATCCCGCACGCAAGGCGCAAGTCAGTGTAGCGCCTGTTGCGAAGCAGGGGGAAGAAACATCAAAGCGATCTGACTACGGCATCTGGATTGGAAACCTGTCATTCAAGACGACCAAGGATGCATTGCGCAAATTTCTTCTTGACCGCGGCGGCATCGACGAAAGCTCAATCACGCGCGTACATCTTCCCATGAACGATAAACAACAAAACAAAGGTTTCGCATACATCGACTTCAACAGCGAGGTCGTGCTGAACATCGCTCTCACGCTGAGTGAGAACCTAGTCGATGGTCGCAAGGTCTTGATTAAGAATGCGAAGAGCTTTGAAGGTAGGCCAGAGAAGACGAAGGCGGATAAAGATGCTGCCGAGAATGGAGTCGTGAGCAAAAAGCCGGCTAGTAAGCGCGTTTTCGTTGGCAATCTAGGCTTTGACATGACCAGAGATGAGTTGGCAGAGCATTTTGCACAGGCTGGACAGGTCGAAGATGTCTTCTTGGCAACATTTGAGGATACTGGTAAGTGCAAAGGCTTTGGCTGGGTGACGTTTGCAGACCTCGAAGCATCGGCGAATGCTGTCAGAGGATTCGTGTGGAAGAAGTCAGAAGGACAACCTGATGAGCCAGAAGAGAGTGAGAATGAGGTGAAGAGTGAAGATGAGGACGAGAAGGGAGATAGCAAGAAGAAGGTGAGGTCTAAGAGAAAGGCGCACAAGCCGAGGAAGTGGTTTATCAACAAGGTTCGTGGACGTCTGTTGAGATGCGAGTTCGCGGAGGACAAGGAAACTCGGTACAACAAGCGATTCGGCAAAGGAGCACCTGGCAAGAGTCAGACCAATGCTGAGAGCGACGCCATTACTGGAGCCGACGAGGACGGCGGCGTGAGTCTCGAAGCTCTTGCTGCTGATGCCGCAGCCGCCAGAGATGCACCGAAGAAGCGAGATCCAAAGATGAAGAAGCTTAGTAAAGATGAACGCCAGGACGCAAGACGCAAGCAGCAGGAGTTTAAGCGCGATGCTCGAAATACAGCCCCAGGCAAGGCTTTAGCCAACGCACCACGGAATGTGGGAGCTATCGTGGAAGGCCAGGGCAAGAAAATCACCTTCGACTGAACGCCTCCCGAAACAGATGTTTGTGCTGCCTATGATCGAGGCTGGCCGAAGTCGCGAGATCTCTACAGCATCGCGCGCAATCAAGATGGCATCTGAGACATGTCTGATGACGGTCACCTCTTAATGTTCAGAAAGTCTGTCTCGGAAACTCAGATTTGTACAGACGCCAAATTTCGATGAACAGATTCGCTCCTACCGACCAGCACCTGCCTGTCTTCCCCGACTCTGACTGGCTTCACATTCGAATCGTTTTCACGCGCTGCTGTAATGCAAGTTTTGTGCATCCCATCTTACCCAGCTTACTTGTCGACGAAATCGAGAATGGAAGAATGGAACCTCTGGGCTGGGACGATGGACTTGGATATCGCGGGAATGGCAGTCCGGTGTATGCTTTCGCTGCTCTGGCGCGACCTTGTTCGGCGTGTTTGAGGAAGGCTTTCGAAGCGAGCGAGAGGCTGTGGACGATACGGCAGATGAGACATGGTTTGACCGGAAGCTCAAGACCGAACACAGTGGCGAGCGACTGGAGCAGTGATCGAATTGAGCAAGACGACGACGACAAAAGTTTTAGGAGTCAGATCTTTGACAGCTGAAACGACGCGCGAGGTCGAGACGCATGTCGAATCCGTCATCAGAAATCCTTTCGTAGCGCTCCTCTGCAGCACTGCAATTAATTGTGTTCCTCAAGAACCCAGGGAGATGGCCTACTGCATCATGGCAACGTCAATCTCGTCTTCAATGCGTCTTTTGCCACAATCTCATCCTTCCTCGCCTCAAGTTCATCTGCATCATATTTCGCACTAATCAATCTGCCACTCAACCATGCCTTCTCCTGCCCATTCTTCGTCAACCAGACACACATCGCGCCACACAGCTCTGGTGAATCTATCAAGTAAGGCCTGAAGACATCCGGAGCCGTCTCCTCTGCCGATTCCGTCAGCACAGCGCCGGGGTGTACCGCATAGCACGATAATCCCTCCTCATGATACTGCTCATGAACATGCTCGAGAAGTTTAAGCTGCGCAGTCTTCGAAACACAGTACTGCGTATTAGCGATAGGACCTCGAACAAGAAACGCAGCAAAGCTCGAAACGCCGATGAAAGCTTTCCCTCCATCCCGAGTACTCAGTAGAATCGGAATCAGATACTTCGCACAATGGAACGTGCCCACGTAATTGACATTCGTCACTCCTGCGAAAGTCGCCGGATCCGTCTCCGTGATTTTCAGAACCACCGGTCCACTATACCCCGAATTCACAGCCACGACATCCAGCCTTCCGAACTTCTCCTTCACTTTTTCCGCTAGTGAGGACACCGCTTCGGCATCCGTGATGTCGCAGCCGAAAATCTCGATTTCGAGCTCTGGGTTGATGGCTTTACATGCTGCAGCTGTCTCTTCCAGTCCCGAGATTCTTCTCGAGGCTAAAATCAAACCTGAGCATCCGGCTTTGGCATAGGATGTGGCGATTCCGGCTCCAATCCCTCTTGAAGCTCCGACTACGCAGACGATGAACGGGGATTTGAGGTTTACTTTGGTGGCATCGAGGGTGGCGTTGGGGTGGGAATGAGAGGTTTTTGTGACGGTGCTGAGGCCTTTGTGTCCCCAGTCGGGAAAGGAGTTTTGTTGGATTTGTTCGGACATTCTGTGGTGAGGCCAAGAAGAAGAAGAAGAAGAAGTACAGGATCGACTTGTCCTTATCGTCGGGCGCATGCCAATTATATGCGGATGGCTGTTACACAAGAGCTGAAAGGAAGAGCTGGTCTTTGGCCGCTAGCCTGGTACGTTGTCAACGCTGAGCTGCCCTTTGAAGATAATGATAGACATCGCTTAGCTGTGTAGGCGCGATGAAGTCTGCGGTGTCCATTGATGGAGACATGGCTCAAAGTGACTCAGCTGTGTTGTAGTGTAGGGAGGAGCCGATGACAAGGAGCAAGGGCCTCAGTCTTGGCAGGGATTTCACTCAGCACGGACATCTCAAAGCGTTCGATATATAAATAAAATTTTGCAACTATATTAACTTCGCGCCCGTAATAATAGCCGAAAATTCTAGCTACTATAGAAGCAGAACCTATACTAAGCTTAATAAAGACTTCTTCTATATATATAAAGGTAGAAGGTAGAATAAAGTCTATAAAAAGAGCCTAAGAAGGAGGTAGTCCTAACTCTACCTTCTAAAAATTCTATATTAAAAGACAGTCGAAGAGTTACGCCTAGAGAGTAGAGTGTCCCTCGAGTACGATATAGCAGACCTTTCGATTATATCTAACTATATAGAACAACTATAGAGATAGACACTATACGACCGTTTCCGTAGCTAGATATAGAACGAAGTAGATATTAAGCACCGGTACTAAAGCAGAAAGCTAAAACTAGTAGGCGCGACATTACTTATTAAAGTAGCAGTATTATATTATATAGCTGCGGGTACTGTATTAGAATAGAAAAGGTAATAGCTCGAGGCGAAGTTAAGGCGAATTTGTAAAGCGCTAAGACTCACATGTGGGCAGGTGCGCCACGTGCTAGCTGCGACAATCTAGACGATAAATTTAGAAGAAATTATATTCACATTTCTTACTAACTATCTCTCTCGCAGGGCGGACGCTAGTAGGTATCAAATAATGTAGAGTTCGTCGTACTAGGAAGTATTATAGACCGCGGGCGCGTTCCAAGAGTAGCAGCGCAGAGGTTATCTACGTTCGAAAATTTTCGGCTTAGCGTTGCTTAAAAAAAGCCGGCGGTAAGTACCTCCCTAACCTAGGCTACCCCGGATTTCCTAGGTACGGTGTACACTCTATATACGAACTTAAATTACAACCCGGCATCCAATCATTTGAATTGGTTTGCTGTTTAACGAGTGTCCTTATATACTTTATTGAGGGCCTGAAATTTTCGGGAGTAGGGGTGTCCGGCTACTATGTAGCGTTGTAATCCTCCGGCGGCAGACTATTTAATACTTTGGACCTCGCTATAATAATAGCACAGTTCAAGGTATTAATTTTTAAATATTTTACGATCCCTTTTTTTTACTTTTTAGGAAAGGGGTTTTTTTCGAAGTCTATATATATATATATATAATAAGATAGTATATATAGTAAAGAGTATATATAAACGTATATATAGAAAGTAAATATACTAGTTATAGGTATATATTTATAATGCTAGTATACAATATATTATAAGAGTATTAGGATAGATTAGGCTAATATTAGTAGAAACTATACCGTTATTACCGGACAACTTAGTCCGTTATATAACCTAGATATATTCGAAAATTAAAGAAATATATACGTTTACTTAAATTATAGAATTAGAGCCGCGCGAGTTAGTATAATAGTCTAGCAACCTGTTAAGTTACTTAGATAGGAACTCGATAATAGAATTTCCTCTTAGTAGTTACAGTCTATTCTAAACGCCGTCTAAGTATAAAACTATATATAGTAGATTAATATATAAAGTGCTCCTCCTCGAAAGTTAAAACCTAACTCCGATATAGTAGTACTACTACCTCCTATCCTAGACGCCGTCTAAGCATAAAACTATATATAGTAGATTAATATATAAAGTACTCCTCCTCCTCGAAACTAACTCGTAGACTTAGCGAAAATTATATATCTAGTATAAAAAAAAAGTCGATATACCTACTAGACGCCCTAGAGCCTTACTATCGCCCCCCCCCCCCCCGATTAGGCTAATACTTAGTACCCTATAGGCTATTATATTAGGGCGCCCCTAGACTAGATAGCTATAGAATACGGAGTATCCTATATATATCTCGATAAATACTAATCCGATTTTAATAAAAATTATACTATTAGAACCGCGCGGGTCGGTTCTATAGAACGTAAAACTTTTATATAAATCGACGACCTTCGAATTTAGTATTAGTAGGTATTAGCTAGTATTAGCTCTAACTTAATTCTTAACTATTAAGAATTCTATTTCTCCCGGCTATACTACTTAATATAGTCCCTACTATATAAAGGCATATATCTTAAAGGAGTTATAAGATCGATAGGGGTTAAGAGGTCGTAGGTTCGAGTCCTATACTAGCTATTTTTTTTATTTATACGTAATTAATAGGAAATGTACTTAAATCTTTAATTAAATATTACTACTACGCAATTAATAGGAAATGTACTTAAATGTTTAATTAAATACTACTACTATTAAGCTAATACCTTTATACGCAATTAATAGGAAATGTACTTAAATCTTTAATTAAATATTACTACTACGCAATTAATAGGAAATGTACTTAAATGTTTAATTAAATATTACTACTATTAAGCTAATACCTTTATACGCAATTAATAGGAAATGTACTTAAATCTTTAATTAAATATTACTACTACGCAATTAATAGGAAATGTACTTAAATGTTTAATTAAATATTACTACTATTAAGCTAATACCTTTATACGCAATTAATAGGAAATGTACTTAAATCTTTAATTAAATATTACTACTATCAAGCTAATACCTTTATACGCAATTAATAGGAAATGTACTTAAATCTTTAATTAAATATTACTACTATTAAGCTAACACCTTTATACCCAATTAATAGGAAATGTACTTAAATCTTTAATTAAATATTACTACTATTAAGCTAATACCCTAGCTAATAAGCTAAGAAATCCGGGGTAAGTTAAATTCCCCTTCAATCTTTGTTTCGATTGACGTTCTACGCTGAAATCCGGGGTAAGTCAAATTTCCCTTCAATCTTTGATTGCATATTACTTCTGCGAAATTTCTCAGCCAATCATTTCGGTCTTGGCGGACAACTTGGATTTTCGCGGGCGGTGGCCGCGGTGTCTAGATTGGCAGCTGCGCTGCCAATCAAACGCCACGCCGTTGCGCTGTGCAATTGAAGTGGCAAATCCATCCACATCCACACCTTCAGCGCCTCTTGTATTTCTGTAAAACGTGTTAGCAAGGACAATATCATGAGAATTGCCGGAACGTATGTAACTCACATCATCAACCTTCCTCAAATTTCCACGATCGATCTGGTTGCCGACTCCGAGCAAAGTCGTTCCAACCGCCCTGGTGGCACCGATTACAGGTCGTAGGATTACAGTCGGAGCATGCTTGATGACAGCTGCAGCCGCACCACCGGGCCCGCGGCTCTCCAAGACCTCGCCTTGCACTGCGATCAGAGCGTCTTTGGCAGTCAGAAGATCATGCTCCAAGTATCGTCTGGCGCTCTTAAGGCCTGATAGCACTCCGAGTGGTTGGTTGGCATAAGCAGAGACTACACGCTGCTCTGGCTCATCATCATCCGAGGCCACGTCATGCCAGCCCTGGTCGGACGAGACATGGCGAGCTGATCCAGGCCGCCGTGAGGCAGAAGCTTCAGGCGCGAGAAACTCTTCCGCATTTGCTAGCATCGTCTGAGTTCCAAGGGCGACCTTGGCCCCAAGTCTGGCCAGTTCGGATGCGGTGGTCTTGCCGAAGTGGAAAGCCCCCTTCTGTATGCTTCGTACAATGCGCCCGTCTTTCTTGTATTCTCGCACTGGAATTGCAACGACATCTCTCATGCCGCTTCCAATGTTGACCAGGCTACGGACAGGTGCGAGACCAGCCAAGACACGCGGAAGCTGGTTGCGTTTGATATCGGGCATCCATATATCGTTCAGCGTAGGATGCAGGGCATCGAAACCTCTCAAGCCGTACACAATGGCGTGCCTGAGCCGGATATTGCAGCCTTCTAAGGTGACAAAGTTCATGAACTCGGTTGTTTTTCCCGAACGAATACCCGCATAGTCAATATTCTTCGGCTTGTAGTCGAGACACATATCGACGGTATCAACCTCAACTCTCTGCAGGAAGGGCTGCTCTCCTGGATCACCAGAGGGTACCATTTCTGGATCCTTGAATTCGAAGAAGCGGGTGATGAAGTCAAGAGCGTCTTGATCAACATGAAGTCGTAGCGGAAGCACTGAAACGTGCAGCACGATCTCTGAAGCTGCATGGCTTTCGAGTGTCTTGACGTTCTCCAGCTGAATGTGGAACATTGGCTTGCACATCTCGCGCTTGGAAGGGTCGTTGTCGAGATGTGTCAAGAACTTCCGCCAGGTCGAGGTGGGCACTTTGTCAAAGATTTCAAACTCCTTGAGGCGCAGATCAACAGAACTGACGACTTCTCCGCTGCCTGGCGGCATAACCGACACATCAGCCGAGACGCCTTTGAGCTCAAATGCAATCTTGTGGCTCTTGCTGCGACCAAGCTTGAGGCGCCTTCGCTGTCGCTGGCGTGGTTGGCCGGATGCAGAGTACTGAGTGGTGGGCCGAGACATACCGGAAACGGGGATGCTGGCTGTTTCGCTGACATCTTCATCGATGTTTCGGTTAATCTGCCGTCGAAGCTCTTGCGCATCGTGATCTGCTGGAACGCCGATGTAGATTGAGTTGAAGAGGAAGTCTCCGATGACCGCTTCGTCATCTTCGCGATCTTGTAGAGATTGGCGATGTTTGGCACGACGCTCTTCAGCTCGCATCTCCACCTGCTCGACTGCTTCGACAATTCCGTCTCGGGTGCGCTGCCAGTCATAGCCATCATAAATGTGCCATATAACGTGAAAGTCTCGCAGACGCAAACGGAAGGGTACGTCTTGTGAAGCATTTCCACGTCGTTGGCGTCCGCCAATGTAAGGCGCGTTGAACCGATACTGACTTCCCAGAGCTTGTTGTCCACTGCCGAGTGCATCAAAGCCAAGATCTTCGATTTCGTACAGACCGAGATCAACAGGCTCGGCATCTGAGGCTGGTCTACGCTGCTTCTTGAGCTCGCGTACAAGAGCTGCATCGCCAAGTTGCATCTCATCAGGTGAAGTGGGCATCTCGAAAGGATCTTCCTCGAGGAGACTTTCCGCGGTCTCTGTGTGGTCGCCCGCTGAGCTTTCCCGGTCCGGATCATCGTCCATGCCAAAAACTCCGCTGACTGGTCCATATAGACTGGCATTCATCTCTGACTCTGCAAGCAGCTGATTGGTCTCGTCATCGTCCCGCATTGAGATTCCCAACCGGCTTTCCAGTTCATCGCCGTGGGCGTCATCCACGTCAAAGAGTGTTTCAGGCTGCTCCTCGGGCTGGACGAAAGGGTCACCGGTAAACGAAGCCATCATGTCTTCGATCTGCATTGGTTGAGTCAAATACTTCGGTTCCTTGTTGGGTGGTGTTGGAGGTGCGAGATCACCTAGAATAGCAATCAGAGTTTGTGTAGAGTCGGCGCAAGTCTCGAGCAAGAAAAGCTCGTTCTTGACATCTACTTCGACTGCCTTGGCTCCATTCAGTTGGTCAGAGTCCTGTGCTCGAATGACAATTTCTGCTGCCATGACTGAGCCCACGGATACGAAGCCCTGCCTGACTAAAGAATTCGCAAGACGTTGCGTGGTGTTGAGCACGTTTGACGATACGTGAGTCGGGATGGGTTGGTCGTTCATGTCCGCAGAGTATCGATCCGTCACAAACACGGCAGCTTTGCGCAACTCCACCTTGGCGCTCATCCTGTCGGCAGGCGGAACTACAGTAGAAAGATGAATATCGGACAGAACCAGCATCGCTTTGGAAGGTAGCTTCTGCGGAGTCAAGCCTAGCGCAGAGTCATGCACAAGGAGACTGATGTTGGTCTTCTTCGAGGAAGTGCCCGAGAGATCGCTTGTAGGACTACGCGCAAGCTTGCTGGGGCTCTGTGCCATCGCGAGGTTGGCCACTGACTGTGCCATCTCGTTCACAAGTGCTTCTGTTTCAACTTCTTTGTCCATCCCAGTAAGATCGAGTATTACGGGAACACTGTACTCTGCGCACAGATTATACAGCTTGACTTTGACAGTAGGTTCGACTTCGTCGCCGAGCATGCGCGCCATTACAACAGGCGAGGCATCGGCGCCTGCCATAGGTATGAGAGGACGCAGGATCTGAGGCCCCCCGGCCTGAGATGCAAATAGATTGCCAACGGAAAAGGCCAGAAGAGCAGGTATGCCAACATGGGCTAGATGCAAATCCTGGAGCGCAATCCTGAGTTGTCCGAAACGTTCGTTGACAGGGAGTCGGACTTCGCCATCTTTGACCCGCAAAGTCGTAAGTAGGCCAGGCTTATCGTCTTCAGGAAGATACTTCGCCACAGCCGAGAGCTTCGTCAGATCATCTCCAAGCGCCGATAGTGTGGAAAGACTATCCCAGTCCTCGATCTTGGCCTTGATGTCTCCTATCTGAAGCCGCAGAATAGCTCCTTTGCGTCTCTGACTCAGAAGAGTGTCAATGATGATGTCGTCATCGTCATCGTATTTGTCTTTGGACGGTGTGAGGAGCGACAGCAATCGTTCCAGGTCCTTGTCCTGTGGCGTGGGCAGATACTCGATCTTGAGGCTAGCAAGGTCTATGGAAAGCGGTGGTTCGGAGGGCAAGAGCTCCGTATGAGGACCGTTCAGCACTATGCGCTCGATTGTCGCCACCACGCCCGCCTCTCGACATATTGTCTTGAGAGTACTGGTCCGGAGTAGGACAGAGCAGGCTGGCCCTCGCAGAGATGCTGTAATGCCGCTGATGCGGCTGTTAAGCTTAATCTCAGGATCTGTACGCGGAGATTGACTGGCTTCTTGTGCAAATCGAACTCCTTTTGGTGGTTTCGTTGTGGAGGATGCACTTGCAGCATTTTCTGAGAGTACAGAACTGCCCAACTCTAGCATACCACTCAGCCCACCAAACGAGCCGAATGTCTCTTCCATGACCAAGAGATCGATTGAAACGATGACTGGAGCCGTGTGGACAGAAATGTCCGTCACGGGCCTCTTGTTGGCACCAGTCCTGTTATTGGAAACGGCAACAGCGACTACAGGTGCTTCAGACGGGAACAACTGGGAATTTGCAACACTGCGACGGTCCCTGTCGAACGTGATGAGGTCGTTGCCACCCAAAAGGATTGCGAAGGTCCCAACCTGCAGACTTAAGTCGCTTCCCATCTTCAAGCTTAGGTCCTCGCACGTGAGATCAACAGCTCCGTGGATTGTGTCGTTAATCCGATCCTTGAGCGATGTCTTTTGATCGAGTTGCTCCGCCAGCGTAAGTCGAGCACGTTCGAGATGCACAGCGATGCTAATACCGCTTGAAGGAGCGTTCGAATTGGAAGCAGATTTTGAACGCTTGTCATCTTGATTCCGAAACGCGTCGGCCATGTGCTTTGAGAGTTCATAAAGGAGGCGGCATGCAGCGACATCGACTTGCAGACACGTTGTGCTAAGTGTCACCTCCATCGGAGACTCAACCCCCGAGTTTGACGACTTCTCGGAGGAACTAAAGATGACACTATTAAGATCCGGATGCACAGACCCTGGTCCACTTCGAATGCGAGATCTGCTTAGATCAGAATATGCGGAAAACGTTCCAGGCATACCATGAGCTGGACTCACGGACTTTGCCAAGGGCGTAGCTCGATTCGAGAGAGGCTGCGGTGTAGCATCAGGCGAACTGTGCGAAGTCGTGGGCAGAGCAATTTTGAGCATGGAAACATGTAACAGCTCTATCACAGACATTCGTCGCCTGTCCTCGGCAGCGGTAGAGGTTTTGTTGGGCAATTCAGGTGAATGAGCTCTTGGGGTTGCATTTCCTGAGCGGGTTTCTTGTGACGCCTGTGCTCCGTCAAGACCAGGCTGATCAGTCTCCTGTCCCAAAACTTCATCTAGTGTTGATAGATGCGAGGCCTCTGGAAGTGACGACCTGGTGCTCTGTGCTGGGGAGGACCAGCCACCCGGCACGTCCATTTTCGGACTAGTGGTCATGGCACTCATGTACATACTTTGGGCCTCTTCATGACTGAAGACCTGGGACGTGAACATGCTCTCGTCTATCGGCCCTTCCGGTTCGGGCGGCGTTTCTGGAATTGGTCGCTCTGGGCTGACATGTTCGAGGGCTGCGTGCTTGTTGTCCACCGCATCCTCTCTTAATTCCGCCGCAAATGGGGGGTGTTCTCTACCAGACGCCACGCGTTCTTCGTCCCCATAAGCCGATGTCAAGACTTGATCGAGCGGTTCTAAAGCTGAGGATCGACCTTGATCGAGAGTTGGCCACGATCCAGGACTCTGCTGCGCGCGATGCCGCTCTGGGCTCTCGTCAGGACGTGGCCACGAGCCAGGGCCCTGGAAGCCACGCGAATATGGTGATACGGGCCTATGCTGTCGCATTTGAATTGGACTATTGCTGCGGGTCGATGTCGCCTTTGGTGTTGGAGCACGCTCGGGCTCCATCAGTAGCGACTCTGGTAGGTCATCTTCACTAATCATCGACTTCCAAAGGTCATCAGCTGGTGCACTACTCTTGCTTCGACGAGAACCCCAACTGATATTGTCATCACCAGGCTGTATATCCAGGAGGTGTGACTTCGCGGTCTGCTCTACGTGCTCATCGTCCCTGGCGTCTGTGAACTGGTCAGCATCAAGCTCTGCCACTGAAGCTGACGAGGGCGGAAGTGGTGACTGCGAAGATGGTGGCATTGGCGACGATTGTGGCTCGGGCATCATTGGCTGCATGACCATGCCCATAGAGTGCATGCTTGCGGAACTTGAAGATTTGGTGGTATTCGTGGAGGATGGTCGTTGAGATGCTGCACCAGCACGGGGAGCGCTGGTACTTTGGACCGGATTTGGGGCAGATGAGCGGCTGGTAGCTGACGAGATGAAGGATGGAACAGTAGACAGACTGGCGAGGGCGCCATTATCTGTCAACAAATCGACTGAAATGTCGTGTAGTCGAAACTGCCGTCTTGCCTCTGCCGCTTCGTCGTGCTTGTCTTCTTGAGACAACTCGTGCAGCTCAGCTTTGACGACTTTAAGTCGGAGAATGACCGGCATGCTCTCCTGCGATTCGGCGTTGATCTCGGTCTCGACGCTGATCTGAACGTTGTGGACTTGCACCTTAAGCCTGTCCACAATTCCCTGGAGGAAGTTGGCAAGAAATCCAGGCACACCGATACCCAGACCGGTGCCCATATCTCCTTCAGTGCTCTCGCTGATGACGGACCCAGCAACATCATCGTCTGTATATGCTAAAGCTTCGAGCTCTTGTCTTTCAGCCAAAGGCTCGTCCAGAAGGAAAGATTTGGCGACATCTTGGACATGTGGCAGATGAAGGTCTTCCTCTGAACTGTCCATTCCAACTCGACGGTAAGGTGGAGGAGAATGTAATCGCCTGTTCATCTTCCTATGCTGCGGCGTCTTTGCACTGACTGGCGATCTCGCCCTCGGCTTGCTTTCCGTCTTGGAGCGCGAGCTCTCCACCTCTTCCAGAAGTGCGCTGATCTCCACGCCATCCACCTCGACGACGATACTCGCCTGATAGAAGTCCGCGGGGATGGTTAGGCGGAGGGACAATATTCGTGCGGTTTCGAGACGGAGACTGGGTGGCAGCTGGGCAAGCTTGGCGATGCGTTTGATATTGAGGCCGACATGTTTCAGGTCGATGACGTTTCTCTTGCCGATGGTGATGTCCAGGTTGTCCAAATCTATGGCCCCGTCCTCGAGGAGCCCCGTCCGCGACAGGCCATATCTCAGAGCATAGCGGAGGAGTTTCTGCTGCCACCACGACATTTTTACATGCGTGCTACACGGCCGAGCTTTCGTGCAGCACTCTTATGGCAATCAATGTTTGTGAGGCAGTTTGCTGTCTGCCTGCCTGCCTGCCTGCCTACTGTCGTCTCGATCTCGATGTACTGCTGGCGGTCGCGTGCCGTGCCTAAGGCCGCCACAAGGTGCGTTCATCGTTGTGTGCTCATATCGGGAGTGCTGTCTCAGCCACGCTATAACAGGATGCAGCGGTCGATGTTGACTTTTGGACAGGGCGCGAAGCAAAATGTCACGCACGAGCAGAAAGTGAGTTGTGTTGACAGGTGAAGCGTGGAAGTGACCGTCATCGTCATGTGCTTCCTTATCGCTGACTTATCGCTGCCGAGGATCTACCGGTGGTCATGGCTTCGTATTTCCTCTCCCGCTCCATGCCATCGCATCGCAGCGACAACAAAGCCAGCCTGACAATGCTGCCTGTTCACACTGCTGCCAGTCAATGCCTCAGGCATGCCGTTCATTCTCAAGGCACACGCATCTCTCCATCTGGAGGCAGACACGCGTCGTGACGGGCTGGATGCATCTTCCATATATCTCGTACTGGAGGCTCCAGCACGACACGAGGCGTGAGTGAGGCCTTCATCGACCTCGCCAGCACGACAAACCAGCACCAGGCGCGCGCCCAGATGAGCTCACTGCAGCAGAACATTTCGCAGGGAAGATGATCTGCGTATGCTCGCTTCACTGTAGAGTTCAGCATGTTCTCCTGAAACGCGCGTGGCAGGCGGACTTTCTTGGCCTCCATCGATCCATACCCACACCGCGTCAAGCTGAACCGAATGATTATTATTGCGGTGGAGAAGGCGTCGAGCTGACAGCCCATCAAATTTTGATGGGACCCGATCCTTCGCTCGACATCTTCCCCTTGGCGCGGAACTAAGCAAGCGCCAGTGTGGTATGCAATCCAATCCTTTCCGCGGTGCTGCCGACACGTTTCAGCACACCTATTGGGCCCAATATAGCCACTGTACTCCCAGAGGAGCGTCAGGCCTGCAGTCCTGCAGAAGTCCTGCCCAATTCGCACCATCCGAGAACTCGTCCAAAGACAGCTCGACCGCAATGAGGATCATGCTGTGATCACTGCGCCTCCTGCAGGTACTGTGTCGGCAAGCGGCCTCCACCGCAGCAGCAGCTGAAAACCTGCATTTGGCTCCTACAGCCACGCCAGAGAAATGTCGCGTCGCGTGGTTGAAGAGGACCGGCGTCCGCCTTTCTTCCATCCACCTTCACCCAGAGCACGTTCTTTTGGAGGTCGCGCGTCAGAGTGGCCGCATCATGGCCGTCTTGCTGCTATCATGCTTATGCTTCTCGTGTATGCAGACAGAGGACAGTCATGTTTGCCTGATATGCTGACGCACTTCTAGCGGTCGCTAATGCTCGCAATCTGTTTCCCAGGCAATCTTTCTCCAATACCACCTCGGCTGCATCGACGACCAGTGAGTGCAACCTGGGTCTGGGCTGTGGCTTTGTGCCTCCAGCAGTCAACACCTCCAGCCCAGCCCGCACTGCCTCCGCGTCTGGCCTCAATGCCACTTCGAATGCTACTCGCTGGACTGTCGCTCCGACGGGTAGCGGTCTATCGTACATCTTTGCCTGCAACGAGGAATACGCTACATGGGGCATCAGTCAAACATCGACATGGATCTCCAAAACTTGGAGCGCAACAAACTTCACCGCGTCAACCTCGACCTACTGCGAAGGTAATGATGCGACAGCTCATGTCATTGGCACCATCACACCAACCGCCACCTGGATCCAAACAGCTTCGACCTTGAGTGCTTACAAGGGCCCTGAGCCGACCTGCAGTGTTGACTCCTCTCAATGCAAATCCCTCGAGGACGAACTGCTCTATACTTTCTCCATCGCTGAGAATGCCACCGCCATGGCATGGGGCAACTCCGCCATAGGAACGACCACTACGACCCTGGCCTCAGAACCTGTGACCACCTTGCCTACCTTGGTAATCAACAATAAGACACTGACGCCAAATGAGAATGACGGTGAATACCATGGATACAGTCTTAGCTATCATTGGCTATTGCCCGACACGAACAGCACCGAGATTTGGATGGGCCCAGACTCTATGGGCGATCCAACCTGGATGCCCTTCTGCCGAAAGACGGCTTCATCAACCTCAACGCCCACCAAAACGATGAATGGCACGAGCACTGTCTGCCCAACGCCGACCTGCACAATCTACGGCGGCCACGTGAAGATGATGTTCTTCCCACCTACGACCACAGCTCCGCCCAATGTGTGTGCAACGTGGCCGGCCGGGAATGGAACCTTGTGTCCTTACGGCGGCCATGGTGCAGGCTACAACAATCAGGACTGCGGTTCCCCTAACATCACTCGATGGTCTAACACAACCAATTCAGGAGAGTACATAACACTAGACGGCAACACACTGTACAAGAACAAGGCATACATCTCAATGGAGACGGCCTACGCCCTCGATGAATGCAATAATCGCATTGGTGGTGGGTATCAAGGGCGCATCCTTACCATGGCTTCGACGAGCATCTACTCACTTTGCGACTATGCGAGGGCCTTCCCTCCGCAGTACAACGCCTACCCAGTGAATTTTCAGGACTTCGAAGGCCCAATTCCGCATTCGGCTTGGGAATGTATGCCGTACTGCAACATGATGCCACTCTATGCACGAGTGCCCCAGAACACTGCGACCTACATTAATGGCATAGACATCCAGGACATGGGCTATCGCGCGTGGTGTTCTCCGGATCTGGTTTTCAGCGAAGGCTTCCTCCCAGTCCTGGCCGTCCCACCTCAGATTCGTGATCTGGATCCTGCTTGGAAAACTTGTGCGCTTGATCTGAGAGGCTTGTATGATCCTCCTTCTATGCTCACTCAAGTTCCGACCGCCGCCGCGCCAACGTTGCCCACCGCAAATGATGGCCCTACCTCAACAGCAGACCCGCCAGCTCCGACGACTAGTGCCCAGGCGGGCGCAAGTATCACGTCTCCAGCGCAGCAGACAAGCACACCAAGCGAGGATCCCAGACCTACCGTGCCCACTGCACAGCCAGTGTCTGAGACCAGCGAACTGCCATTCACCTTCGATCCAACCACCTCCTTGGATGACCCCTCAGCGACCACAGAAGACGCCGGACAAGACTCTAGCGACCCGCTCGGAAACGCCATTTCGCTCATTCTCACTGCGGCCAATCCTCCGGCCTCCACTTCCGCAGGAGGCATAGCCAGTTTCATCGGACAAGGGCTCGGGATTTCCTCCCCGAATCCTCCTCAGCTCAGTCCCACCAATGCTCTCGAGGCTATGACAGCCTCGTCTGTTGCTCCTGTTAGCGTCACGAACTTGATTTTACCTGGCACGACTCTACAGCCTGGTGATACTGCGACTGTCTCTGGCAATACCATCGTCTTCCCATCGGATGGAAATGGCATTGTGGTCAATGGTGCATCCTCGGAACTACAACCCGCTGCAAGTGGCGGAGCTGTGAGTTTGGGAGACGGTATTGAGGCTACGGCAGTCGTTGCCCAAGTCACGCAGCCAGCTGTTGCTGTGGGCTCCCAAACTCAACTCGTGCTCCCAGGAACCACTCTCCAGCCTGGCTCAGCTGCAGTCATTTCTGGCGCTACAGTCTCCCTGGCTCCATCCGGGAATGGTGTATTCATCAACGGAGCTTCAATGACCCAAGCTGCTGGCGATCTCATCGCTCTAACAAATGGCATCATAGCAATTCCAACCGCTGCTACCCAGCTAGTCATAGGCTCCCAAACCCTCGTAGCAGGCGGCTCAGCCATAACTCTCGCCGGCACAACATACACAGCAAGCGGATCTCAAATCATCGCAATCGCTCACGGCCAATCCTCCACATTCCCCATGCCCCATACCCCCCTCATCACAACACCCCCCTCCCTAATCCTCGGCACCCAAACCTTAACAGCCGACGGCTCCGCATTAACCCTCTCAGGCACAACCTACACAGCACATGGCACCGAAGTCATCGCCGTCTCCGAAGGCTGGACCTCAACTTTCAAAATCCCAATCTCAGCTCCTGCTCTAGTTTTCGGCTCCCAGACTCTTTCACCAGGCGGTTCCGCAATCACTGTCTCCGGGACAACGTACTCTGCTCTCGGGACTGAAATTTTCGTGGAAGTCTCCGGACGCTCGACGACGGTGGATTTAGGTCTTCTCGCTGCTACGGCTGACGCGAGCGAATTCCAGGCTGAAGGGTTGGGGAGTGTTACTGGAGTTTTTGGGGCTACGAGTTCGAGGATTTCTGCGAGTAGGACTACTACTACTACTACTACAGAAGAAGACGGTAGTTTGATTTCGCCTACGAGTACGAGTTCGTCTAGTGGAGGTTCGAGAAATTGCACGGGCTGGTTTTCAGGGGGGTTTATTCTTCTTGCTATTGTTGTTGTGTTTTGTGTAATTTGAAGATACCC